TTATACATAACAGAAATGTATACATGTAAGTCAATTGCATCCATTGGTTGGAGGCTCCTGGAGCTCTCCTGCAGATCAGTGAGCGGTTTGGAGTTGTGTGGGCTGCAGCTTGGCCAGCAGTGGGGGGCTGTGGGAGGTTGTTGCGAGACCCAAGAAAGCAGCTTGGCCCCTTATGTCCCTCCTTGTTTGTGATGACAAACTGTAGAGAGAGAAAATGTCTCTCCCATTTATTGCAGTACTTTCTCAGCACTGAACTGGTTTTCTCCATAGTAACTTCTGCAGCTGTCACAAGAGTGGAATGAGCATTGAGATTGTGGGGATGTGTCCTCCTCTATCTGAGGTGATGTTCAGGAGTTAGCTGGCTGATTTCATGCCCCAAACAAGAGACTGAGGCCACCAGTGGTGACATTTGTGCAGTCATCACACGGCACTGGACATGGTGTGAAATTCTATCAGGCCAGTCTGAAGGACACGGGTCTGGCAATGCAGCACAGGCATCTCATCTTGGGTACTTCTCACCAGTCATGTCTTCTCAGGAGAGGGACAAGGGCTACCTGAGTGTGGCATGTCCTAGGTATGGGTCTGCTGCTTCCCACTTGTGCTACTGCTCACAGGTGCTACTGCTGCACACACTTCCAGGCTGCAGAGGGGTGGAAAACTGCAGACCTGTTCCCTTGCATGGCCAGGCTGTCCAGGTCACGAGTTTAACTGACCATGGGTGGTGTTTTCAAAACAAATTAAGGGGTCTGTCCCCACCCATCTCTATTCTCATCCTAACACAGATTGCTGCACACCTTCTCAGCTTGTGTGAGCACTCACAGGGATTATCCTGACTGTGCTGTGTCAGAACGAGTGCTTACCGTGCCTTTCCTAGCCTGGCTCATTTTGGCAAAATCCTGCCCATCCACTGCTGCAGAGAGGTTTAAGTTCCTAAATCCCTTTGTCTGCTTTGAAAAATCATAAGCTGCAGAAATAGAGAACCTAGTGGGTGCATCTACCAGTTATGGAGTTAAGAATGAATGAAAAAGAAACAAAGAAATGTAAGAGACAGTCAATCAGCTTGTTGCCTAGGAGAGGAGGATTTTTGGGATGCCAGAGTTCCTGCTGCATTAAGGAAATGCAATGACAGGCCTGCAAAGCAAAAGAGAGCCAGAGGGCCTTGTCACTGTGTCACTGATGGCTTGGTTCAGACCTCAGCTGGGGTGAGTGGGTGGTGTCTATTGCCTTTGCTTGTCAAACTCCTGGTCACCAAACAACAAAGTGATTGTTAAAACCCTTCAAAATATTCTACAGGGCATGCATTTGCCCACGTTCATTGTAATTGTTTAAAGCAGAAGTGCTCAGGCAATCTCTGTTCCTCCCAGCCCATGTGAGATCAGGTTGCTGCTTGGATGCACCTGCACCAGCAGGGAGGTCAGTGCTCAACAGACAGCCCTAACTCTTGGTTCACAGGACATCCTGACTGACTTTCCTGCTCTCCCAGCCAAACTGAGAATGGTAAGAGGAGCCCCACTCTACTTCCCCACCTTTGGTTTTATCCTGAGGAATGGAAACTTTAAAATTCATAAAGTCAGTTCCTTCCATCAGCTCTTCTAGGCTGCCTTTCTCAATGTGAATGGGCATACATCTACTCCTGAAAAATGCACTTGCTGATTTAGTTAAAAAGAAACAAATCAATTCTTGGACTTCTGAGTTTTTAAGCTTCTTTAAATAAGCAAGAAATTTTTCAGAAGAAAAAAAATTTACTAGGAGGTAATTCAGTGAGTCTCAATAGGAATAGCAGCAGCACTGGGAGACCCAGTTTTAAATCTTAGTTTTGCCAGCATTTCAGAATACATTCCTAGAAAAAACAGCTAAATCATTTGTAAGACAAGAATTATCTTTCAGTGTATTCACAGTGTACTTTTCTGATAAACCCAGAATGATGACAGGTCTGTTAAAACAGGAATAAAATTCACCTTGCTGGTGGGGTAATGTGATAACTAACTAAATAAAATGCTTTTGTAGTGGTTTTGACCCAGTGAAAAGGCAGCTGCTGTGAAATCACGGAGGATAATAGTATGTCTTAAAAGAAGCTATTGCTGAAACGACCCTGTAGCACATTTACATTGATTGAGTAAAAGGATGAGGCTGTCTTCATGTTCTTAATATTTTTGTTGTCTGTCCTCAGTGAACTGAGAATGCTGATGGAGAGGCACTGACTGATAAGCGCTCCTGCTCTACAGTGAGATTTTGGTTAGTTTGAGCAGGTTTCCTCCCTTCCAGGATAAACTGGATGCTGGAAGAAGAGAATAGGGAAGGTCCCAAACAGAGGCCCTACTTTTAAAACAAACAAACAAACAAACAAACAAACAAACAAACAAACAAACAAACAAACAACTACAGGAGTTTTCTGTTCAGTCTGTGTCAGTAAGGCAGCCTTAGCATTTGTGTCATGGAAACCTGATCAAGACAGGCGATGAGTAAGATCGTGCTCTGCTCATGAAAGCACCTTCTTCCAGAGACTACTGCCTGCTCCTGATCTGCTGCTAATTAGTCTCCGCCCTGTGATACTGAGTCATTATATTCTTTGCCGTTTTCCATGGCTGCTTTTGGTGTGGAAACTGAGACAAATATTGCTCCCCTTCTGGAAATCATCATTATGTCATCAAGTTTATCAGTACCTGTAAGCCCAGACAAAAAGGGAATAGATTTTTCTCTTTTTTTGGCCAGTGATCTCTGACAGGAACGTTTGGAGGTCCAGCCATGTTAGGTGTTATGGTGATGCACCGCATAAAGCATCTGGCTAGTTTATGTAATGTCACAAATTATTTCATTTCTTAAAGCATCAAAGCTATTAAGCAGCTACTGTAAGAAAAAGGTGAAGGCACTCCACACTCAAGGCTCTTCAGTGCTTCTGTCAACAGCAGGTGCCTGTGTTTGTGCTTGCCCATAGCCTACCATGAGGAGAATTGCCTCCAGTCATGACTTCCCAGTTTATTACAGGATTGTGCAGGATGTTGCTCTACCACTTTCCTGCATCCTCTTGTTCCATTCATCACTGGATTAAACGCCTCCTGCCCAGTGTGTCAAGTTCTGCTTTGGTTTGTTTTCTTGGTGAAGGAAGAAGGGGACAGGTTTCCAGGGTCACCAGTGTCTTTCCCCAGTATGACTGACTTCCTTGAATTCAACAGGCATTACTACTGGGCTATTCTTGAGAACGTGTCCTTCTGCTGAACCGTGCTCGACTGAGTCTGGTTCAGGCTTGGTGTTGTGACTCAGATGGGCTGGATAGAGACCCTTGGGACTCATGGAACCAATTAGCTTTAAATGACTGAGTTGGAAAGTAGCAGATGCATAATCATCCCATTACGCCTTAACCCCTGAAGTGGGACAAGAGCCTCCTGGTTGTGTTCACTGTGATGGGTGGCTGCAAAGCTGTGGTGGGTATGCCTAGCCACAGGAGCGAAACTGGGTCGTTAAAAACTTTAATTAACAAGTTATACAGATGGCAGTTTCCCAAGAATCCATGTCCCATACTGTATTGCTCCTTCCCCTGTTATGTCTGAATCCCCAGTGTCTGCTGTTTCCCTTTCTTCAGCACTTTGGGGCTAGGTGGCATCTTACCTTTCCAAAGGGGCTTGTCAATTGAAAAATGCAATTTGCCTGGATGGTCAGCGTGTGCCTTTGGTTTTGGCAGCTGGGAATCCTGTGCTGTTCTACACGGTCAGCTCTTGGTGGGGAATCAAAAACACCAAAACATGTCTGGGCAGTGCAGGGAGTGTAAGGGTGTTCTCCTAGAGGGCTGGGAGGAGGCTGCTGAGCCCTCTGCACAACAGCAAGTTCCAGCTTTTTTTCTTCATTATATTTCTGTGGGAATTGGGATGGCTGTGCCATCCTGGTGGAAGCAATTCCACCCATTGCACGTGTACTGGACTGATGGGGACTGTGTCTGAAAAGGCTGCATAGGTGGTGACAACTGCCAGTGACTAATTTGAAGAAAGGATAAGAAGATCATAATAAAATGATTTCTCTGTGGCACAGCAATTATAAGAGTTGGAGTAGACCAAACATCTAGTAGCACTCCAAAGACTGGTAGCTTTTTCTACTCTTTCTCCACATCCTTCTCTTAGTAAGCATCTGTTGCAATAAAAACAAAGATACAGGAAGAGAGAAAGAGAAAGAACCATCTGCAGTTGTGTGAAATGTTACAATAAAGGCAGCTTCCTTCAAACATACTTGATGAAACAGTTCTATGGTAACACCAAGAGTTACGAAATGGACTTAGTAAAATCTTTGCCGCTGAATATTTGTTCCTTTTGCAGTGAGCCTTGATAAAACTCAAATAGTCTCTGACCTTACAGTACTAGTTTACAGTATCAGTAGTTTCCTGCCATGACTCAGTGGTTGGAACAGTAATATCTGACAGTCGTTTTTTTCCTCTCTATTTCCAGATCTCTTTTGAAGCTTCTCAGAGTGGGTGGGGAGAGACGAGTGACAGATATAGTCCTGGTTCTTGCCCTTCCTCTTTTGCCCCCCCTTTTTTTCTCTTAAACGACCTTCTACTGCATTTTCTATTCCTTTCAGTCCTCTTATCCACCAAGTTTCCCTTTCATGCATGTCCTTGACCAAATCTTACTTTCCTTTTTATTCCTGCTGGTACTGTCTATGCCTGCTGATAATGCTTGGGAAATACTGAGATCATTCCTCTGCTGGGTTTTTTCCCCTCACTGGTACTTTTCTATTCCAGATCAAACTTCTTAACATCCTCCCTTCCTCTGCAGTTATCTTGCTGAGCCTGTACTGCTGTAATAATCTCTGCTACCAGTAGAGATCGATTGAGTTTTGTATAGTCTGGGCTGGATGTGGTCCATGAATAAGGTTGGAGTAAAAGTTGGCTGTAAGACTGGGAGCAACCTGGCCTTTGGTTCCTCCATAGCTGGGATGCTGAGTCATAATGGAGTAAGACAATGGCAAGCCCCATTTCTGTGGAAAGGATCTGAATTATGTTCCATGGCCTTGCTGCCATAAGGTCTCCCTGCCTCAAGGCTAAGCAGCAGGAATTGATGTTTGTTCCTGTCAATTGTCAGCAAGCCCTGAGGTCTTGTCTAGAGCCCAGAGTAAAACCTTCCTGCTTCTGCAGCCTGCAGTCTAGAGGTGGCTGGCCCAGCAGAAAGCACTGGCTCAGGGTTAGGGCAGGGAGGGTGTTTCAGCGCACCAGAGGGGCGGCCCTCCACCCTCCCTGCAGAAGGGGTAAAAGCCTCTATGTAGTCCTGACTGTGCCTTCTGACCCTATGTAGCCTTTTGGTCCAGACAACAGAGCAAAATGCCCTTCTTGTCAAAGTTATGAGAAAGACTCCAGAGTCTCCAGGTACCAATATGAATTTAACTGTCCCTGATTTTCCAACACTGTGTAGTAATCCTGACTCTGCAGCTTCTCTTCTGGAGACCCCTGGTCCCACACCTCTGAACAGCACCTTGGGAACTTCCACATTTAAGAAGTCCTTTGAATTTGCAAGTGATGGCCCTGAGCCAATCTTCTAGATTGGCAAGATTATTTAATAAATTGAGTTCTGTAATTTCTCTTCTGCTGAACTTAACCCTTGTGGAGGATGTAGATTAGGAGGCCATCCTTAGTGGAAAGCTGAGCTTGCTTCTGAAGTCTGGAGTAATAATCATGGCTCTGCTGCCTGTATTCAAGAGGTGTGAATCTGGGAGGCTGACAACAGAGAGAGTCCATTTTCAGCTTTGTATGATCCTTTCAACTTCTGACTAACCACAGCAGGTCCACAGGCTATCTGTGCTTGGTAGAAGCTGATGGTGTGCGGAGTTGGCAGTTATTCCTCCAAAGTTACCTCTTCAGGGCATGTGAAGCTTGGGAACAATTTCGGATTTGCAGCTTGTGTGTTACTTGCTGCAGGGAACCCGAGTCTTACCCTGGTAGATGAGGTGTGAGCTGAGGCCAAACTGGAGCACAGGATGCTTGAATCTACTGAGAGCTGTGTAAGTGATATGCTCTTGTAGCCTCCTTCTGAGATCCCTCATGCTCATGTAGGCAATGAATAAGAAATGTGTGTCAGGTCAAATATTTGAGGGGAAAGTTCACTGACACCAGTCCTCCACTTTTCCAGTGGGACATGTAAAATTTGGTAAAGGTCCTGGTTCTCCTCAACAAAACTCTTGCACTATACCTAGTCTGGAATCAGCCTAGGTGTATGTCGTGGGCTGGAGAGTCAGAAGATGGGTAAGGCTGCAGGTGCTGAGTTTTTTCTTGGGGAATATTCAACATAATTCCATAGTTTTGGTCCTGCAACTTCTGTTTTGGGGACAGAAACCTTAATTAACCTTCTTTTTTTTTTTTTTTTCAAAACAGAGTTGTAAACCTGACCCTGCTCTAAACACCACATCAGCAGTGTATTTCAGGCCAAAAGTTACTTGGAAGCCATCACAGTGTTTTGTTTAGGCTGTGATCTGAGGATGTCGTTTGGAAAAATTTAGAAAGAATTATTACAGAGTATTGAAATTGGCCCTTGATTCAGCTATGCAGTATTTGTCAATATAAGATATAGTCTTGCCTTTGTGACCTACATTCAGGAAACCACATAACTGTAAAACAGCAGAGCAGAATAAACTGCTTTTCATATGGAAATATTAAGAACAAGTAATGTC